ATCATGACATTGATAGTCTTTGAACTCCCTCCATGATCGAATCAAATCTCGCAAGTCTCTCCACTAGTACTAGGACAGAGCCTTCCCCTCCAAATATAAAGCCACTATAGTGCGTTTTTCATCTTCTGTCAACCCACTTACATCAAAATATCGCTCCACATGATAAATCCACCCGTAAGCATCTTCTCCCTAAAAAACAAGCATCTTCAACTTTCTTACCCTAGGATCAACACAACCCCAATTGCTTCTTTCTCCTTCGGTGTAACGGATGTTGTGATCCCTCTATGTTTCCCTCTTCCCCATACCAGTTCCAACCATACCCTTCACCCTTTCCCCTATTTGAAAGTGGCTCCAAATGTAGCATCTCATTTTCTTCCCCCAAAATTTTCATCTCCTGATCCTCTCTCATCATCCCTATATTAAGGTTTTTGCCAATTCCTTGTGCGGTTAACAAAGCCCTTGCTTCTGATGATGTCATCTTAGATTGAAACTCTAACATCCTTTTCATCATCTCTTCCATATTTGAAAATCTGCCCTCAATTGCTGAAATTTGCTCTCCGAATTCATATTTCAGATTTCCAACTTTCCCATCAAGCTTCTCCTCCAATGCATCAACCTTCTTAGCCAGCATAGGTGCAAAAAAGGTTGCTCTGATACCAATTTGATAGGAATTCGATCTTGACACAGCCAAAAAAATAGCAATAACGAAGAGTAAACACAACATAAATTAACGGAAAAAAAGAGATTATGGGCTAATTTTATTGATATCGAAAAAAGCAAAGCAAGATACAAGTTGATCTACTATTTGAGAGGTAAATCGACTCTCCGCAAATCCTATGCGCCACTAGGAACAAAGCAAAAGAAAATTACTCCCAAAACACAGAATCACATAATGAAAATAAAATAACCTAATTAATCCTAAATAAACCTTCCTAATTCCCTCGCAAATCTGAATTCAAATCAACCCCATTTCCCTAAATAAACCTTCATAATTCCCTCCCAAATCTAAATTCAAATCAACCCTCTTTCCCAAAATAAACATTCCTAATTCCCTCTCAATTTTAATTTTCTATGGTAAGTAATTAAAAATATAATTAATCCCCTTTTAACTCCCGCCTCTTTCTCTCTCCTCCGCGGCATCTAAAAAATTTATTAAAAAAAAAATTGTAGGCTCTTTAGTCCCACACCGCCTGGATTTAAATTATTATGCTAGAAGGAAAGAACCTAATTAGTATGACCCCCAGAAACAATAAACTCAATTTCGTTAGATGCCAAAGAAGGAAAGATGAGCATTTATTTCACAACTCTCCAATAATGATCATAAATCAATCTTCTCCGGTTCACTATTTGGTGCTGCTAATTAGTCATTGAATCATTGTTTTCAAAAGCAGCTAAAAACCAAAAACAACACAGTCATATTATTTCTCAACAATGTCGCACCACTGAAAGGTGGAATTTAATTTCAGTAAATATCAGAGATGAGGATGCTCAGGTGGATGAGTGGCGAGCATATTCATGAAAAGGTTGGTGTAGCTCCAGTGGAAGATAAGAATAGAGAGAGTCGCCCTAGATGGTTTAGTCACATAAAAAAGCGGCCTTCCAATGACCCGGTTAGGAAAGTAGAGGCATTAAATTTGACTTATGTTAAGAAAGGTAGAGGTAGACCTAAAAAGACTTGGATAAAGAATATTAGATATGATATTTCCTTATTAGATTTAAACGAGAATTTGACTTTTAACATGACATAGTGGAGAAAAAAAGGATTCATGTAGCCGACCTCATGTAGTGGAACAAATGTTTGATGTTTTTGTTGTTGTTGTTGACTTTATCAATTGCTTACAGACAGCATCCATCAGTCGTTTAACCATCAAGAAGAGCTACTTAAGACAAAAGGTGATAATATGAACAGTTTTTAAAAGAATATAAACGGTACTGTTTGTTTATCAGGCTTACAGCAAATAACTAAAGACCTGTTCAAATCTCTTCTAAATCCCACATATTTCTAAGGCCTCCAAACAAATGTCGGCCTCAACTATAATATAAAAACACAAGCCAATCCAAATAACAAAAAGCATACATAAATGTTTTAACTACATAAGATAACAAGATAACAGATAAGGACAGGTAGTCCAAGGAAGACGACAATTTAATTATTGCACTTCTTACAGCAAGAACTTAGCAATATAGACAGGAAAAATTCACAAAAAAGTTCTGCTTTAATATTTCCCCTAATATAAAATACCAAACAAAATTCAACAGATTGCAGCAAGAATGCAACCCACTAATTAGTCCATTAGCTTTTTACCAAGGAGGCAACTTTATGGAAAAAACAGAAAGAAAAACAATAATTTGGGGCCAAACAAATGACTTAAGAACTTTAACAGCTTTGTTTCCCACCTCAAAATGCTCCAAATTCCTGTAAGCTCCACTTGAGAGTCTCCTTCGCACAGTCCCAAAATCGTACCAAACCATCGTGTCGCAGCTGCAAAAAACTAGAGCAAAAACTTAGGGATGGATAGAATTTACATCCACAAGAGAGGTCAAAATGTGAAAAAAAAGAATAAAAAAGCCTTCAATGTTACTTAAAAATAAGTAATTGAAGGAGTGATAAAGGTGGGTCCTGCATTGTCCTTAATATTGCATGCACACGTAATGATGAAGCTAGAGAGCTTATTCACCTCAAGATTCACATGGAATCTACCCTCCATTGTACTCTTTTGGATCCAGGTAGTGAAAAAAATCTTACCTCTACAACTTTGGTTGTGAGACTAGGATTAGTAATTACTTAGTATCCAAAAACTTATTCCCTAAGTTGGTTTCAAAAAGCAATATATTATTAGGTCATTAGACAATATGCTCTTAAGTTTTGCTTTCTCTAGATATTTTACTGATGTAGTAAGTAAAATTGCAATACTTAGTGCAAGCCTTGTGCTACTAGACCGTGCATTATATATGAGATATTGATACTATCTACTTTAGAAGGCAAAAAAATTTCTATTATTCCACCTTCAAGGAGATGAAGAAGGTTACCATACTAAAGGATCCTAATAAGAAAACAAGAGCTCACTTCCTGATGAAAAGCACAATAAGTGTCATCTCAATTGTTGATTTGCATCAATGAAGAGGAATGATTCATCGCATCCTACTTTGAAGCCTATGGATGCAAGAAGAAAATACAAGCCCAAGAGACAAAAGAAGAATAAGTGTTCTCATTTGCAGGAGCAAAATGAGGAACCGTGATTTTTAAGGCTTTCAAAAATATTTGTAAATCAACTTTGAAAGGATTGATTTGCAAATATGATTTTAGGTGGAACTTAAATGTAATATTGCAATTTTAATATCTAAAAATTAAGGCAATGGCCAAGAAAGGAAAAAGGAAGAGATTTAAGTGGAGAGAATCAAGAAAACTAACCAAATTACACTTACCTATTTCTCCTTAATTTACAAGTTGACCACTTACTAAAGGGGAAATCAAATAAACAGAAGCACATAACCTAGCAGCCCATAAGCACTAGGTCAAGGTAAACAGCTCAGGGGAAGGTGACCCCTAAGGAATTTTGCATGTTGTATTGTTCAACATCAAAATTAGCAGACTGACATGATTGAGGTAATCCTACAAGAGTAGCAAGAACATTCTAGAATTTTAACTAGAAAAACAAACAGTTTTTATAACTAGCTCAGCCTTGCACCTGCAAGAAGACAAGCCATCATAATAGCTTAAACAAGACAGAACACAGAACCTGTAATCAATGCACTGATCTTTCATGATTCAATAAACTTACTATTGCCAAGTAGAGCAAATGGATGAACGGTGAACCTAATTAGTATGACCCCCAGAAACAATAAACTCAATTTCATTAGATGCCAAAGAAGGAAAGATGAGCATTTATTTCACAACTCTCCAGTAATGATCATAAATCAATCATCTTCTCCGGTTCAACTATTTGGTGCTGCTAATTAGTCATTGAATCATTGTTTTCAAAAGCAGCTAAAAACCAAAAACAAAACAGTCATATTATTTCTCAACAATGTCGCACCACTAAAAGGTGGAATTTAATTTCAGTAAATATCAGAGATGACGATGCTCAGGTGGATGAGTGGCAAGCATATTCATGAAAAGGTTGGTGCAGCTCCAGTGGAAGATAAGATTAGAGAGAGTCGCCCTAGATGGTTTAGTCACATAAAACGGCGGCCTTCCAATGACCCGCTTAGGAAAGTAGAGGCATTAAATTTGACTTATATTAAGAAAGGTAGAGGTAAACCTAAAAAGACTTGGTTAGAGAATATTAGATATGATATTTCCTTATTAGATTTAAACGAGAATTTGACTTTTAACATGACACAGTGGAGAAAAATGATTCATGTAGCCGACCCCACGTAGTGGGACAAATGTTTGATGTTGTTGTCGTTGTTGTTGTTATCAATTGCTTACAGACAACATCCATCAGTCGTTTAACCATCAAGAAGAGCTACTTAAGACAAAAGGTGATAATATGAACAGTTTTTAAAAGAATATAAACGGTACTGTTTGTTTATCAGGCTTACATCAAATAACTAAAGACCTGTTCAAATCTCTTCTAAATCCCACATATTTCTAAGGCCTTCAAACAAATGTCGGCCTCAACTATAATATAAAAACACAAGCCAATCAAACAACAAAAATCTTACTTATGGAGCATACAGAAATGTTTTAACTACATAAGATAACAAGATAACAGATAAGGACAGGTAGTCCAAGGAAGACAACAATTTAATTATTGCACTTCTTACAGCAAGAACTTAGCAATATGGACAGGAAAAATTCACAAAAAAGTTCTGCTTTAATATTTCCTCTAATATAAAATACCAAACAAAATTCAACAGATTGCAGCAAGAATGCAACCCACTAATTAGTCCACTAGCTTTTTACCAAGGAGGCAACTTTATGGAAAAAATAGAAAGAAAACAATAATTTGGGGCCAAACAAATGACTTAAGAACTTTAACAGCTTTGTTTCCCACCTCAAAATGCTCCAAATTCCTGTAATCTCCACTTGAGAGTCTCCTTCGCACAGTCCCAAAATCCATTGGGTGTTCAATGATGCCATGGTAATCTGGAAGCTACATATACGATCACCAAATCATCAGCTATCAGCAGGCAGAATGATAAATTGATACAATTAACAAAATATAGAAAGAGATCTTACCTCCTCTGGATCAACAGGCTCCGAAAAAACTCCATAGGTGTCCTTCCTGAAGGCAAAGCAGAGTCAGTTAGTTAAAAGAACTTAACAGCCACAGAGAACACAGCTACACTACTACAACCATAGAATTCAAAAGCATAAAGAAAGCAAAGCACTCACTTCTGTAGTCTATCAAGGATGAACTCCAATAATTTTTTGTCTGGAAGAGCAGTTGTGGGGCCCAAATCTGATCTATCTCCTGGCACAAAACAGAGAAAAATTAAAAAATCATAAAAGAATAATATCACAACAAAACCACCAAAATAGATAAATCGTCGCCCTTCAAAAGTTTAAATTTTCTTTCTTGAAATAAATGTACTAGCATCAAACCTTGAGAAGCTTCCGTCGCTTTCCAGGAGGAATTTTTACTTTCTGCCTGCTAGAAAACAAATCATAAAATTAGTCAACAGAAAGAAATGCACATAAATATACAGTGGTAAAGCGGGAGAACATTTAAAAAAGGTATATTTTAAAAATATCCATAATTCTGCAAGCAGGTCCACCCCGGGATATCTGGAAAACCCAAAAACAGAAGCCAATTTTCCAATTAATCGAAGGAGAATTGGGTGAAGTTTGAGTTCGAAATCTAAAGAGAAGGAAAACATAACGATTGACGCAAATTAAAAGAAGATAAATTTAAACCCCCAAAAAAAAGCCTCTGAGGCACATCAAGAAAGGATTAAAAGTTTAGAACGTTGACCTCGTCAAATGCAAAAGCTTTCCTAACTCGCAGAATGGAAAGCCGCCAGTAAAAAGATTCAAACTGGGAACAAATTCCAAAAAAAGCACGCACCGAAATAAAAGCACCGATTCCGATCCCCAACAAGAACCCGTACCTAACCAACCAAATCTATAAATACTCGAAAACCATGAAACGTTGGGATACTCCATTGCAACAAAACGGATCGCCGCATCCACACAGATCAATTCGAACGTAAAACTATAGTAATTTTGCTTCATTTAGTTGCAGTCAGCCAATCGGACCTTTCCCGCAGCGTCGATCTTCCGCCTCTTGGTTGCAGCCCCGTCCGATTCGGATGCCACACAGGCCGCATCGGAAGAATTGGCGTCGGCGTGAGGGAGGTGTAACACGAGCTTGAGCTTCTTCTCCTTTCTCCTCTTGGCGGGCTCATCTTCGTCCTCATCGTCCTCCACAGAAGCCGCCACAGACGCATCGTCCACGTCCTCTTCCGGCGATGGCGGCTCAGGGTCGGGATTACGGCTCCGGTGGGTGAGGCGGACAGGAGGGGTGTTAGGGAAGCGGGCATAAGGGTTGGAGTTAGGGTTAGGGTTTCGCTTCAGCTGCCTTTGCTCGCGCTGCTGCTGTTCCTGCTGTTTCTGAAGACGGAGGCTTCGCTTCTGGAGATCGAGGAGAGATGGGCGGCCCTTCTTCTTCCTCTTCATCTCCACCGGTTTCCCCATGTCTCCCTCTGTTCTCTCTCTTTCTCCCTCTATTCTCTCTCTTTATCCCTATTTTCTCTCTCCTCTCTCTATCTACAGCCGAGAGTCGAATATTTTAGAATTTCTTTTCTGTATCGCGGTTTAGTAGACCGTCAGCACGTGACATCGGCCTTAGCCGAGTTTGTATCACGTGACAACCGCGGCACTCGTATCGTGCGGAACTCCGGTTCAAGAGAAATTATTATGTGGGGGGAGTCTGGACGTAAAGCCGGTCCGCTGGTTCAGAGGCGATTCGACCCGGTTCACTAGTCGAAAGGTGAAAAATTTTAATCCGGTCTATAAAAATTTTAAAATATGTGCAAATAAAAAGTTGTGGCATTCTAACATTTCACTTCACCATCTTTCGGTTCCTCTCGGCCCTCAGTTTAGGCATGTGCTTTTCATCTTTGCACAAGGATCGGGTCTTTTAGCTGAGAAATTATTACGTGCATATGCTGAAGCTTTTATCGTCTTTCAACAAATCAAAAGTGTCTGCATTCGGAATTTAAAATTTTTATCATCTTCTTTTCCACTCTCAGTTCAGTCACTTTTTTTCTTCCAGATAGAAATTAAGGTCAAATTTATCTCCATAGTAGCTCTACATTGTTGGATATGTTGAAATGTCAAATATATTTGTTCTATAAACGGTTTATCTAAAAAAGTTGTTAATATTTAGGGTATAGGGTTTATGTAAAATTTATGTCAAAATCTTTTTTTTTTGCTTAAATAGACATTGGGTATTGCTGGGAATTGTGGGTATTACTCTGTATTGTTGTGCATTACCATGATATAAGCTTATGACAATCAGACACTGTTGTACTTGTTCATCTGAAAACTTTTTTAAGTTTTTTCACAACTATGTATTTGAAAATTTTTTTAGGAAGTGTTATTATTTTTTTTATTAAGTCATTGGGTATTACTGAGTATTTATATGATACAAGATATATGGCAACCATACATTACTGTAATTGTGTATATGTGAGAAATACTATTATTTCTTTGTTAAGTCATTATGTATTGCTGAATATTTCTATGATACAATATATGTGGCAATCAAACATTGTTATGATTGTTCATTTGAAATTTTTTTAAGCATTTTCACAACTGTGTAATTTAGAAATTTTGTGAAAAATGTTATTTTTTTCTAAGTTAACTTATTATGTATTGCTTTGCATTGATGAGTATTTCCTTAATATAAGTTTATGATAACTAGACATTAATGTATTTGTTTATTTGAAAATTATTTTAAGTTTTTTTACAGCTGTGTATTTGAGAAATTTGGTGGGAAATAATATTATTTCTCTATTAAGTTACTGGGTATAACTATATATTGATGAATATTTTACATATGTATGTTCTAAATATCACTTCTCATTACAGAATATCAACCTTTAGACTTATCTGCGACTCTTCGGTTTAAACTTTTGGCAAGGATTTCTAAGACATATTAAAGGAATTACACCTATATTGATTATTGGAGATCCCTACGTTCCAGCAGTATATTCCCCTCCTATACAATATGTTATCATTATGAGATATATCAAAGCAATGCTTCATTATCAAAGGTCATGAGCTAGCATTCACTATAGATGCAATGGCTCTGATTACCGAATTGTCGAAGCGAGAAGCTGAATTCAAGTTGGAAAGTGAGACAGTATCAGAAAAATTCTCAACCTATATTAAACATAGAATGCAAAGCCTCACTAAATCAACTCCACCTAGGAGAGGAGAGGTTCACAGTACTCAGGGACCATCAGATAAGGGCAAGAAGCCCTTAGTCACTTCAGTACCCCAGCAGCCACGACCAGCTAGTCAGCCACACTCAGCCAGCAGGTCTTACTCAGTTGACCAGCCAGGGGGACAGCCCAGGACCTCCCGTAGGACTCCAGAGAGTCAGCAGTACCTGCAGGAGAAGCTTAGGAAGGAATATCCCTTTAAGAGGGAGAGTGTGAAGAAAATTTTTAGATTCCTTACTAAGAACAACCTGTTGGTATTCCCCGAGAGCAGTAGAGCAGAGGAGGAGGGTCAGACTGAGCACCCCCTGTACTGTCCTTACCACAGACATGTCGGACATGTGTTGGAAGACTGCTATGTCTTCAAGGACAGAGTAGAGAGACTGATGATCACAGGACAGATACGCCTTCAGGACAGTGATCTAGTGCAGCCCAAGGGCAAGACCCCTCAGACAGTTCAGCTAGTCTCCAGCCCCAGTGATTGTCAGAGTGATGCTCAGGGCACTACTAGCAGTTTACCCACGGGTTTTGAGGATGATTGGCAGATCTCACTTTCCAGGAAGACCAGGAGGATGATAGACAGAGCAGTTCAGAGCTCAGAGGCAGTTGAGAGTAGGCCACCTCAGGCCAAGTCGACAGTTGCCACTGCAGTTACCACTCCAGCACTCCCACGGGATAGTGCGGCCGTACCCTCTGCGTTCTTACCCCACGAGCGGTGCTCTTTCGGAGGTCCACAAGATCCTCTTAATGTCCCCTTCTACTATCCACCATTATCATAATTCATCATGATTTCCCTCCTACTATAAATCCTAATGTTGTTGACACCGATGAGGATGATTATCTACCACCAGCACATATGATCAAGTCACCCAAAAAAATTGTACTTGCTGATACTCCAGTCGAAGAGAAAGATGAGGATGACGATGGATTTTTTGCTTCAACCCACAACACGGGTGTAACACGTCATGTGAAGAGTAAGGAGAACCGAGCTAAGATTAATATTAAGACACCCTTCACACCTGGTCGGATATAGAGAAGAGGTAATCAAAGAGCAAAGAATCAGCCTAATTAAAAAGTTGATGCATCTTCTAAGAGTAAAATCAAGACAATTCAGACAATAGATTAGAAGGGTCAAAAGAGGAAAAGTGGCAATCAAATAACCAAGAAGTAGCCAACACAAAAAGTACATGCACCTACTACAATCATTTTTGTGGATGAGGGAGTATCTACAATCGCCAAGCCATTAAAAAAAATAATATAATTTTTTTTAGAGGGAGCTGATAACTGAATTCAATTATCTCAAACTTCCTACAGCTACAATGAATGATATCCTCTTTTGCATCACAATAAATTATCTAATGGATCGACTGGCCCTTATGCTCTATATTTTTGAAAAAAAAAAACATTAATGAATCATTTGAGGCATAATATATACACATTCCACCAACAACTTGTAAAAATTTATCTTAAAAAAATGAATATTTTTTTAAAAATAAAATCAAGTAGCTTGCTTTAGTATTGGGATGCTTTTTATCACAAGTATTGTTTAAGATTAGCTACATCTGAAATCTTCATCCTACTCATTCTGGTGCCAAGTTGTCATCACCTTCTCTAACCCCATAAAATAATCAATTATAAAACTTATTGACTTCGAAATGTCATGACACACATTATTGGTGGACTCGCTACATTGTGTTGATAGAATGCTCATGCTAAAGCAATTCTTATAGAATGTTATTGATCACTTATTTCTTATCCTATAAATCTTATTCAATTAATCATAGCTCTCGAGGCCCCCTTATGTGATCATTTCAGCCTATTCTCTCAAACTTCTCCTTAGAGTCATACTTACTCAAATATTATAAAATAGTGCTATAACTTTGTTGTTGCTATTGAATCACAAGACTTTTGATGGATCCTTTTTAGAGATGTGCCATTGGCACAATCTATGATGTGTCTAAGATAATACAATTTGTATGGCCCTAGTCATTTCTTGATCTTAATCATTAATAAATATTATTATTGAATATTTATCACTCATTATTAAAAAATCAATTATTTTCTCTAGTAGAAAGGCTATCCAAGCAGAATATTCTATTGATAATTATAAACTCCAACAAATTGTCTACAGATAAAATTATATTTATTAATCCTGTAGCTAGTATAAAAAATTATCATATATTCACGGAAGTCATAATACATTCTCCCCATCCCATCAACTCAAAAAAAAAAAAAAAAAAAATCTATCAAACTCATCAGTTTGGATGTCCCTTAAAAACATATTGTTATTAACTTATCTATCTTCAAATAAATGAATTATCCAATTAGTGTTCTCATACACAACTTTGCTCTTTTCTCTTTCTGAATGTTATTATATGCATTCCACTTAGAGAATCCAACTGTTTTTAAACCTCCAACTTCATCAATAAGATAGGTAAATGTATCAATGATTTTTATCCCGGCATTTATTATTTATTTAAGAATTAATGATCTCTCATCACCAATATTTCTATATGTTCTAAATAGATGATTGTCTTCTACCCTAGCCAATTCGTGATTGTGGCTTTCTATACATTTTTGCACCTTTTAAATTCCATCTTCATCCACTATAAATCTAAGCATAGCATGACACCCTGTTCTGGTGTTTGATTTTTGATATTTTGATTAGAAATTTAAGTCAATACCCTTCTTGAAATCAACTTTTGAACATATAAAGTCCTTGGATCTTTTTCTTTTTAAATATGGCTAGTAACTATAATGTTCTATACGAACACCAAAACTAACATTATGAGTATAACTGAAATACATTTCATATGCTTCACTCTCGTAATTATAAACACCATGTGTACAAGAGAAAATTATTCAAATAATTGAATCTAAAATTGCACGCCGCTCAATTAACAACAATACACAATAACACAGTAATACACATCAATATACAGCTAAATATATAGGCATACACATTAATACACAGTAATATATATCAATATATAGCTAAATGCATAATAATATATAGCTCAGTATACAACAATACATAGCAATACATAGCTCAGTACATAATAATATACAGCAGTATACAACTTAATACACAACAATACACATCCATATAAAATAAATACACAACTAAATACACAACAATACACGGTTCAATATACAGTAGTACACAATAATACACAACTCAATTAACAATAATACACAATAATACATAGCTAAATACACAATAATATATATAAATATACAATAATATACAGCTCAATACAATATTTATTAATAAAAAATAAACGCATTCACAACATAATTTTCCTATGTATTATTATAAGCTTGTA